GCCCAGAGGCTGCCACGGCAGCCCCCTGCACAGAATGACCACTGGGCCCGCCCTCCCGTGCACATCTCGAATGTAGCCCCGAGAAGGACCCAAAAGGCCTGACGACGTTCAGGAGGCCCCCAGACAGCTGAGAGGAATCAAGAGGAACCCCATACACGCAAGGCCAAGGGGCTCCAAGCCATCCTCTTGAATGGCCTCTGACCTCAGGAGTCCTGAGTTTTGCTGACTCGCCCCTCCTCCTCTGCGTCGTCGTCTTCGTCGTCGTCGCGGCGGAGATTATGTGTTCCCCCTATTGTTGGGCGGGCTGGGTCATGACGGGGGGCTCTGTCGCAAGGGAATCATCGAATGTGGGCTGCCCTACACGGGGCAGGATTTGTGATCGTCGTCTCATCAGGATTGGAATGGGAATGCACATCGTGTTTGTTCGCGAGTTGACCGAGTCGTGTTCGTAGTCGTAATCGTAGTCGTACCCATAGTCGTACTAGTAGTCGTGATCGCTAACTTCTGGTTGTGGTTGTGGTTCTAGTAATGATTGTAGTCGCGGTTGTAATCGTGATTGTAATCGTGTTTTTGCAGTCGTGATTGTAGTCGTAGTCGTAGTCGTGGTTGTGTCACCATCGTAGTCGTAATCGCAGTCGTAGTTGTAATCGCAATCGTGATCTTATTCGTAGTCGTCGTCGTCCTCGTCCTCGTCCTCGTCCTCGTCCTCGTCATCGTTGTTTTGTTGCGGGTGCCGCGCAGAAAACATATTTTCCATTCGTGGTAGGGCCCCAAGATAAGTAGTTTCCAACTGTTTGGGGAGAGGTTTTGAACTCTTATCCTTGTTAATACCCCCAAGATGCCCCCAAGATGTCCCAAGAGCCTTCCAGAAGAAACCTCCATGAGGCTCCCAGAAAACTTCAATGAACTTTCCGAGCCCCCCCCCCAGAGGCTTCCAAGGGCCTTCCAAGAGGGGCTGCATCAGACCCCAAGAGACATCAACAACAAGCCTTTTCCAGACGGCGCCAAGAGACGCCACGACGGCCATAAGAGAGCCCAAGGGCCCAAGAGGGCTCAAGAAGAAAGCCCATGAAGGCCCATGGAAGCCCCCGGTTAACCCTGGGAGAGCAACTGGGGGGTCGCAAGACGGGCCCATATGTGCGACCAAACGTTCGGGAGCGGGAGGGCGAGGATGACGCTGGCGGCCACGAAAACGACACAAACTGATCTCACGACGACGGCGACGATGACACGAACGAGGAGGGCGCGGCATACAGAGACCACTGGGGTGATCTATCGACGATCCGGCTCTGCTCTGCTCTGGTCTGCTTTGCGTGAGATTGCATTATATTTCAACACAGTGTGTTGTATGGGATCTGTGTTCGGTTGTTCACTTTCATGGCATTTGAGGTTTACAGTGTCGTGCTGCATCGCAACGCTCTTGTGATGCGTTGCATCGCTGTCATTGTTACGCATTCCATCTGCCTTGATTTGCATGGGCGGGAGCCATTGTGTGATGTGACGCGTCCGCGCTCTTGCGAATAATTCATTGCTCCTTCGAGAATGCATGCGCCTGTGAAGTTTGTCGAGGACACGGGCTTTCTAGAACCCAAGCCTGCGCGAAGCACCGGTGGTTCCAGTATGTGTATATATACATATATAGATTTGGACGCCCGCCCCACCAAGATCCATCTCAGCGCCCTTCTTCGTCGACTTCCTTCTTCGTCTTCCCTTTTGTCGTCGATGCATGCGTAGACGTAGACACAAACGGAAGTGGATGATTCAGATGAGGATGAGGCGGAGGAGGAGCAGGAGGATGGGGAGAAGAAAGGGGAGAGCAGGAGGCTCCCAAACAACTCCCTTGGGAGGAGGCTCCCGCCTCAGAGGTCCCACACGAAACCAAACAGGAAAAGCTCCCGCCTGAGAGGTCCCCCAAAAAACGCGAAGAGGAAGAGGCTCCAGCCTGAGAGGTCCCCCAAAAACGTGAGGAGGAAGAGGCTCCCGCCTGAGAGGTCCCCCAAAAACGTGAGGAGGAAGAGGCTCCCACCTGAGAGGTCCCCAAAAACCACTAAGAGGAAGACGCCGCTCGCTGCCCTTCGCCCGCCTTCAATGCCCCTCGCTGCCCGTACTGGTTCCGCGGTCGCCTTCGCTCGCTGCCCTTCGTGGCCCCGTTGCTGCCCTCAGTGGCTCCGTCGCTGCCCTTTGTGGCCCCGCATTCTATGCCCTTCGTGGCCCCCGCTCGCACGCGCCCGTCGTGGCCCCGTACGCATGCCCTTCGTGGCCCCGCTGTCGCCCTTCGTGGCCCCCTCGCTGCCCTTCGTGGCCCCTTTGCTGCCCTCAGTGGCCCCGCTGTCGCCCATTGTGGCCCCGTATACGAATGCCCTTCGTGGCCTCCCGCTCGCTCGCACCCGCGTGGCCCCATATGCATGCCCTTCGTGGCCCCGCTGTCGCCCTTTGTGGCCCCCTCGCTGCCCTTCGTGGCCCCGGTGCTGCCCTCAGCGGCCTCGTCGCTGCCTTCTGTGGCCTCGGATTTTATGCCCTTCGTGGCCCACGCTGGCTTTTCTTTCGATTTATTTAGGAATCGCGCTATCGCTCAAGACTTCCTCGCGATTCACGCAGGACTCACGCTTCAGCAAGTCGCCTGCTCGACCTCCTCGCCTGGGCCCGCCTTCCCGACCTGCCCGCTATGGGTCTGCCCACCCAATTTGCCCGTCTGGTTCTACCACTTGTTTTCTGCTCCTTGCCCCCCTCCTGCTAATTTCTCTCGTGCTCCATTATTATCCCTCTCCCTTCCACCCGTCCTCTCTTCCCTTGATTTAGAGGCTGCGCTAAATACACGTGGCAGGTAAGGAAGATATACCCCCAAGGGGGTACGATCGAAGACGACGAGGGCGGGTACCGAGGCTTTGGGATATACGTATTGATTAGCACGTGAGCAGATTGGAGCGAACAGTCTTAAAATGATTGTTGTTGTTGGTGTGTTGGTGGTGTTGTAGTTGTTGGTGTTGCTGTTGTGGTTGTGGTTGTGGTTATGGTTGTGGTTGTGGTTGTGGTTGTGGTTGTGGTTGTGGTTGTGGTTGTTGGTGTTGTTGTTGTTGTTGTTGTTGTTGGTGTTGGTGTTGGTGTTGTTGTTGTTGTCGTTGTTGAACACTCACTTCTGAAGAATAATAATTGTTCATCCCCCCTCACTGGTGCATATGGTTTCTTCTCAGTCAAAGTGTGCCCCTCGACGTTCGCACCCTGTTTTGTGACAGGGGAAGTCTTGGTGGTCAAACTGTGCCCTTGGCTCCCCGGACTACAATAACAACGGTTCCCGTTTGAGACTTCCGCCAAACTTACTCAGGACCCCTCCCTCCCGTCTGAGACGTCCTCTTAATTTTCTCAGGAACGACGCTCCCGCTTGAGACTTCCTCATTCGTCCGGGTCAAACTGCGTTGATGCTCCCCCGGACTACAACAACAACGGCTCCCGCCTGAGACTTCTTCCAACTTAACTCAGGACCCCGCTCCCGCCTGAGACTTCCTCCCGATTTACTCAGGATCGGCGTTCCCGCTTGTGACGTCCTCGCAATTTAGTCAAGACCCCCCTCCCGTCTGAGGCTTCTTCACAATTTACTCAAGAACGGCGCTCCCGCTTAAGATTTCCTTGCGCTTTAGTCTAGACCTCCGCTCCCGCCAGACATCCCCTTTTCAGGAATTGCGCTCTCGCCTCTGACTTTTTCGCAGTTTATTCCAACATCGCGCTATCTACTCTCAGGCACCACGCTCGCGCCAAGGACGCCATCACACTTTACATAGGAATCGCGCTCTCGCCCTACTCAGACATCCCGCTTGAATGTCCCACCCGCCCGTCCCGCCCGTCAGAGAATCGCCCGCCCGTCGTGGGCTGCCGCCCGAGATTTCCTTGTGGAATGGCGCTTTCGCTTAGGACTTCTTCGAACGTTGCACTCTTACCTTCCTGCTCCTCCCTCCTCCTGGGCCGCCTCCCCCCTCCTTCCGATTCCTTCTCCCTCGCACGTCAGCTGATGTTGAATTTTCATTCTTGAAGAATGATTTCTGTTGGTCCCCCCCACCTGTGCGCATTGTTTTTTCTCAGTCAAAGTGCGCCCCTCGACGCTCGCACCCTGTTTATTTGACAGGGAACGTCGCCCGGGCCAAACTGTGCCCCTGGGCCCCCAGCTACAACTACAACGGCTCCCGCCTCAGACGCGCCCAGTGAGGCCCCACCACGCTGCCCACAGAGGACCCTGCCGCAGCCCACAGAGGCCCCGAACGCGCCCACAGAGGTCCCGCCCGGGGCTTCTCCAATTACACGTGGCCAGGAAGGAATATAACCCCCCAAAAGGGGGTACGATCGAAGACGAAGAGGGCGAGTATCCAGGGTTTGGGATATGCATAGTGAATGAGACGCGGGCCGGTAGGAGCGAACAGTCTTGGAATGGTTGTTGTTGTGGTGGTGGTGGTGGTGGTGGTGGTGGTGTTGTTGTTGTTGTTGTTGTTGTTGGTGTTGTTGTTGTTGTTGTTGTTGTTGTTGTTGTTGTTGTTGTTGTTGTTGTTGTTGTTGTTGTTGTTATTGTTGTTATCTCTCTGGGTTGCTTGGAGCCACAACCGTGCAGTTTGCAGTGATGGAGGGGCCCACATGTCTTAAGCAGTTCGCACGCTGCTTATGTCGTTACAGGTGGTCTGGGCCGTCTTGAAAAGACAGTCGGTTCCTCGCCGGCCCAGGAGGTCACACCCACCAGTATCTGAGCCCAGAGCGGCTTTGCGAAGGCCTGGTGTTGGCGAGTACGCATCTTCTCCCCCCAAGGGTCTACAGAAGCGAGTCCTCGATCTTTTCCGAGGGCGCGTCCAGCCCAGCCGTGACGACGAGGGCCCCCCGGAGCTCCCCTCCACCCCGCAGTAACATCCAAGTTCCGCCCGCCCGACCCCCCGTCCGCGGTGGACTTCCTCATCCATTCTCTCCCCTCCCGTTGGCTTTCTCGCGCGCGTTCTCTCTCCGTGCGCGGCTCTCCCGCGGTCCAGGAGCTTGGCGCCACGGGGGACCCAATCCCCAGCAACTTGTCAAGGGTGTCCTCCGCCGCCGACACCGTGGTCGCTTTGCGCGCCTCCTGCCTTGCGGATGTCAGCGAGGAGAGTGAAGAAACGGAGAGCGACGTGGAGTAGTAGAGCAGCAGTAGAGCAGCAATAGGAGGAGGAGGGAGGAGGAGGAGGAAGAATAATAAGAAGAAGAGGACGGAGAAGGAGAGGCACGAGGAACGCTGGTGACGATCCCGGGGCTCAGGGCAGGCAGTGGTCCGCACGCCCCCGGCCGCGCGCCCACGCCCAGGGCCGAGCGGGCCCGCCCCGAGCCTCCACGGGAGGCCCCGAGCCCCCGCGGAAGCGCCCCGCCCCCGCGCCACGGGCGAGGAGGGGCAGGGGCCCCGAGCCCGCCCCCCTGGAGGCCTCGGGGTCGTGAGGGAGATCCCCGGAGGCCTCGCGCGGCGCGTCGTGCAGTCCACCCGCACAGGAAGGATGGGCAGCCTTCCCCCAGAGTGCCCCTCGCATCCTTTGCCTCCTCGGTCCATCCTTGGCCATTTTCGTTGGCCGTGCCCTGCTCGAGAGAAGCATCCACATGGGCGTCCAAGGCCCCTGCATCCTGGTCGCGCATCCTTGCTATACTGGTTGACTGTAGTAGCATTATCTAGTCCACACGTCAGTTCTGTGAGCTATGGGTCGACGCTCGCGCGGCGATGCTCCAGAGTCAGTCCGACGCAAATCCGACGTAGTCCGACGTGAGCCCCACGTCAATCCGACGGAAATTCTACGTTAGTCGGGTCTCAAGTTGCCGCGCGAGGCCTCCAGGATGTTCCTCATACCTCGCGGCACCAGGGAAGGTGTCCGAGCCCATCCTCTTTGGGGGCCGTTTGGGGGCGTCTGTGGCCGTCTGGGCGTTCTCTTGGGCCGTCTGGGCGCCTTGCTGGGGCGATCTTGGGGGGGCCTCTTAGGCTGTCTTGGAGCGTCGGAAGCCCGAAAAAGGCGAGAACGCTGCAATCCTGCAACAGCCATTTGCAGATGCTCTTGCAACCCGCCGCCGCCTCTGTGGCGGATCGGGAGCCTCCAGACGGGGGTCAATGCAAACGGGGGTCAGCCAGAGCGCCGGATCTTGCAGACTCCTGCAGAGCCAGGGGTGCATTGCGCACTGACCTGGGCTTGCGCGCAGGATCTTGCAGGACCCGGCAGGATCTTGGCGGATTCCGCAAAGCCTGACTGGCCCGGGCTTGCTTTTCCCGTGTCGGTGCGTCCCCGAGCGGACACGGCGCGGGCCTGAACTCCCGCAGGGCATCCCGGCAGCCGCCGCAGGCGGGCCGCGGGCGGCGGCGACCTTCTCAGACGTGGGTCGAAGCGAGCCACGGTCGGAGATCTGCGCGGGCCGCGCGGCCCTGGAGGATGCGCCGCGCCGCCTGGCCCGCTCGGAGCGGTCAGCGCAGCTTGCGCTGAGGCGCGAGCCTCCCCGAGCGCGCTGCACTGCCCGCACCGTGCCTACCTCGCAGACGGCCGGAAATTGCGTGCCTGCCTCGAGGTCGTGGATCGCGCGTCCCCTGCGGCGGGCCCAGGCCATCGAGAGAGAGAGCGAGAGCCCCGATGGCCTCTGGTCGGGCCAGGGTGAAGCCTCCAGGAACTGTCAGGAACGTGCCCCCATCCCACACTCGTGGTTCCACCTCCAGCCCTCAAGTAGGCAGAGTTCCATTGGAATGGCCGCACAGAGGGCCGCCAGCTGCATTGCAGGGGAGTGGCCGCATCAGCAGCGGCCGCAAAGAAACACACAGAGGCAGGAGGGCTTGTCCTTCCACGCGCGTGCAGCCCTGGGGGCCAATGACACGCATAGACTACCTCTGAGGGGAGACAACCCTCCTCGTCCTCCGCAGTGGTTCGGGAGCGCCGATGGCCACCCGCGACTCAAGGCTGCAAGCCGCTCTTCAGCCTGCCCAGCAATTCCTTCTGACGGCCGCTGGGCGGTACCTTGGCGCACTCCTTCGCCAAGCCCGCCATCCTCACGCTCTTAGCCCACGAACCGCCATCCTCCAGAAGAGGTGATTGCCAGCCCTCCAGAGCTCATGCGTCTCGTGCGTCTCCATCGCCCAGCATGGGTGCAGCTCTGGTGGAGCACGAGCATGAGCATGAGCATGAATATGAGACGAAATCTAAAAATACCGCCCTGCCATCCCCTGATCAGGCCGACGTAGAAGACGACAAGGAACTGCGACCCGAATTGTCACTCCTCCGCTCCCACAAACCAGACCAGGCGACGTGAGTATGACCTTTAATTTGAGAAAAAACACTGCCCTGGAACCACCACGCACCCTACGCCACAACCGCGATGCCGACAAACCCGAAGATCAAGAAAGATGCACCAGTTCCTCAAATTCCCCTTCACCATTATTGCACAGCACTCCAACGAAGTAAAATGCTCAGGTCCCTCGGAACATTATTCACCATTATTGCACACAACTCCAGGCACCCCCATATACGTCTGCCTTGCGCGGGCCAGGCTCAGCCAATACAGAAACTGAAACTGCAACAAAAGAGAATACGTCTGCCTTGCGCTGGCCAGGCTCAGCCAAAACACCCGAGGGATGCCGAACGAGGAGTAGACGAAGTTCGCGACACACACACACACACACACACACCGTGATGGGAAAGCGGAAAAGAGAGCAGACGGCACCATGACAGCTACAAGTTACACAAATGACCACCATATGCATTGTGAAGTCCCGCGATCCGGGGAAGATGAATCCCACGGACATCCACGAACGCCATAAAATGCAGCAGGAGGATTGAACCTGATTCTGACACAGCATTCGCCCCGCCCTTAGCCGATCCGCGCCGCAAGAAAATCTCCAGAGGTGCGAATAGCCACAAACACGCCGCGCTGAGGCGGCGGGGCAGGGCCCATGACGCGTTTGAGCCTAAAGATGGATCTACGCGCCTTGGGCCCCGTGTGCTTGGTGCAGCTCGGGTGGAGGAGCAGGAGGAGGAGGAGGAGGAGGAGGAGGAGGAGGAGGAGGAGGAGGAGGTGACTGCGGCCCTCCCCCTCTGGTGCGCCCCTCCGCATCGACACCGCTGCCGGCGCTGCTGCGCGACTGGCTGGCGCTGGTGCTGCTGTTGCTGGTCAGGCTGCTGCCTGTGCTGGTGCTGGTGCTGGCGCTGCTTCCAGCGACCGCCACAGCTGCCTACGAGACGTCCACGTTCTCGTTCTGCTCGCCTGCCGCCTGGCTGGAAAGAAGAGCGGCCCCCGCCGCGAGCAGGGCTGCTGCCGCAGGAAGCCGCTTTGCTGCCTCTTCTTCCGCCTGAGGAGAGTGAGTCTGCCAGCAAGGCAAGGCGGCCAGCACACTCCAGGCACGCCCAGGCTGTCTCGTCTGGGCTGATGTCTGAGCACGTGCTGCGCCTTCCGCACGTCCTCCGCCCGCAGTCGAGGAACTCGCGCGGGCTCCTGCAGCTCCGCTTGCAGTGGTTCGGTTCGCACCTGGCCATGTCGAGCCCAGGTGCGTCACGCCCGTCCTCCGCCGTGAGCATCTCGGCGCCTTCTTGCGGGGCGGCGCCGATCCAGCGGAACACCCTGTCCACCAGGCGATCTTGACGAGCGCTTCGCTCCCTCAGCGCCTCGTCGGTCGTGTGCATCCTGGAGCCCCTGCTCGCCCCTCATGTCGGCGCAGAGGTCGCCCCGACGCTGCCAGTCCGTGATGCGCTCCGCCTGCATGCCAGGCAGCGTCGCGTGTGCTTTGATTTTGATGAGCGTCACGTTCTCTATGCCGACGTCCTCGATGGCCGCCCCACCCTTTCGCCCACAACTCGCGAGAAGGACGTTGCCAGGACGAGCACCGAACCTTTCCAGCTTCCGCTCTATCCACCAGCAGCTTGCAATCGGTAAACACGCGAATGGGTGGAAGGCATGCTCGGATTGCCCCCGTCGCCGCGTACAGCGCCGCTGCTTCCGACTCCTGTGGGTACGGCCAGGGCAGCGGCCCGTAGATTTACATCGGGCCTGTCCCTCTACAGGGGGAATTTTCAGAAATAGTAAAAAATAGTCTGGGGACGATCTTTGGACTATTCTTGTCCATTTGGGAGTATACTTGGGGTATTTTTATTTTTCGTCCCAAATCCCCATGTAGGTGGACAGGCCCGACCTAACCGCAGACGCCGACCGCTTCCGAGGCCTCGCCCACTGCCGCTGCCGCCCATGCTCCGCACGCCGAGATCGAGCCGGGGCCCTCCGCACTGCCGTCCTCGAGGAGGTGGTCCGACAGCAGCTGCTCCACGAGTCCCGCCCCGCCTTGTTCGAAGTCTTCTCCTCGCCGGGTGGTGTTAGCTCGCCTCAGTAAGTATCGTTTAACCGATCCCTAATTATTCAGGAGGGAAAAATCTGGACGCCCGAAATGGGTATGGAAAGAATGGGTACAATGCCCAACAGCAGTTCCTGTTCATTTTGAACAGGACTCGCTGTCCGCGCCGCCGCGGCCTGTGTCTATTCGAGACAGAAGGCCGCCTGCCCAACAGCGGCCGCTGTTGGTTTGGGACAACATTTGTTGCTGGGCATAGTGCCCATTTTTGTCCGTACCCATTTCGGGCCTCAAAAAACACACAGACACAATTAATCGTCCATTCCACAGAAAATACGGGAACATATGGGAGGTGGGGGGAAGACAACAACCCAGAAAATATGGAAACATATCGGGGATCCGGTTATTTGTGTGTATATATATGTACTTATATATATATATATATATATATATATATATATGTATGCCCCGTAGCTCCGCTTCCCTTTTTCCTTCTGTGAGTCGAGGGGATCGGCTATACATGTTGATCCGTAGTCTTGGTGTTGGCTCGAGCCTGTTTCGCGCGGCCTCCCGGACACAGACGTCTGTGTTTCCCACGATACAGTCTCGTATCACTACTTCGAGTGGGTCGCCAAATAGGCCCGTCTGCCCCTCAGCGCCCATGAGTTTGGACATTCCTGAGAGACAGATTTTGGTTCATTATCCCGGCGATGGCATTCCTTACCATCATAGAGCACTGTTGGTCAGTCTTGGATGAGCTCGCTGGATCTGGTCTACCCCCGATCTCTCGGTGCGCGCGGTCGACTTGTCAGATCGGGCGTTGGTTAACTCGATGATCCCGCTGGCGAGGGCAAACCCGTACCCTCGAGGATTGCATGTGTACGGATTCGACAACCCGATCACCCCGAGGGACCTGGCCAGGATCAGAGCGGAGGGTCGAACGCTGGGGGACTTGTTAAGCTCAGCGAGGGACCCGACCGCACCGATGTCAGCTGCAGGTGCCGACGTAGTGTACATGTACTCGGACCCGTCGTGCTTGTTCTTCGCGGAGGAGGGTAACAACCGCCACCTGGGCAATCGAACGGAGGCCGTGGTCATGGGCTCGAAGGCGCTCGTGCGGCGAGGCCTGGAGTGGACGACGGCGGAGCGCGTCTCCGTGGACAACAAGCTGTGCTGGGTGCTGGAGAAGTTGGGAGGCGAGAGCCTCGATTCAAGATTGCTGTTTCGGATGCTGGGCCCGAACGCTCAGACGAGTACGGCTCCTTTGAGTGAGGTCGTCACGTTGCTGAAGCAGTCGATGCGGGCCGCGGGCACCCCGAGCGAGCGGGGCCAGTCATTCCTGGAGTTAGCCGAGATTGTGGCGTCGTCTGGGCAGGAGTTTGGCACGTATGCAGTCTTCTGGGAGTGCGCTTATCGTCAGGACGGCGTCCAGGCGATTCCTGTGATGCACCGTCACTTGCTGATGTTCCTGCACATGATAGTGAGTTATGGTAAGTTGAAGTTGTGTAACTTGGCGGCAGCGGAGTTTGCGGCACGCCGTGTGCTGATGATCCATAGGGCAGTGCGGCTTGATCCTGGGAGCCCTCGTCTTGAGAACCTCAGTTCGTGTGTGCTCCACGCATTGGGCACTGATGGTGGTGTGGTCGCCGCACAGTTCGATATGGAGATGGCCGGGATGCGCAGGACTCAGGCACATATCATGGTGAGCGATCGTTTGTTGAGGGAGGAGCTGAGAGACTCGAAGCGCCAGAAGACTAACAACAAGGACAAGAACAAGAGCGGCCCGTCCAGCGGGTCGCGGGGCCCATGATGGCTCTACGGTCCCGGGGCCGCGCTGTTCGCCGTGGCGCGGCCCCGTATCATGATCCCCGTGAGGGAACGGCCTGGGACCTGTCATCCGTGTTGCCGCCCGCCGGCTTGCCTTCAGGAGGCGATGCGGGCGCCGGTCTCGCCTCGGACATCGACGATGGCGCTCGCGCGCTGGAGCCGGCGAGCCGGGACGTCTTTCCCCTTCCGTGCGTTGGAGATAGGCGAGATGCGCCCTCGATGGGCATCTTGCCGCGTCACGTGGCCGCCTGTGATCGGAGGTTCGCTGAAGTTGTGGGCTCCCTGAACGCGCTGGCGGTCGCTCGAGCGGGTCATCGTCTTCGGCGATGCTCTTCGGTATCAGCACCTACTGGGCTTCAGCGTGCAGTGGGTGCTCGGCTGAGGGGGGCGCCCCATGACCTGGGGCGGCCCCCCTCGGGGCCTGACAGGAGGGATGCTCTCAAGAGTGTCCTTGGAGCTCTGAGCGTCTACGATTTCACCGCGGACGACGCTACCCGAGGTCTTTTTGACGCGGCTCGAGTTCGCGCGGTTCGTGACGGAGGCGTTCACCCCAAGCCAGTCCGCGCAATGGTAGGGCCCGACGCCCAGCCGATGGCGGCTGACCCTTGGAATTGGATATTCAGAACTCCAACTGGTGAGGACAGGGTCGCCGAGGAGGCGACGACCAAGCCCTACCTCGACCCTGTGCTGCGCGACCCTCGTCACATGGGCGCTCTAGTGCATGCTGTCTTTCGCCGACGGGCCCGTTGCTTCGCGGGCGCCTTCGCGGTGATCAAGAAGGACGGGCACCACCTGAGGCTGGTCTTGGACTGCAGGCCGGCGAACGCCCTGCACCGCACCCCTCCAGTCAGTCAGCTAGCCACGGCGTCGGCGCCGGCGGGCCTCGCGTTGCGGGACGGAGAAACCTTGGCCGCTGAGCACGACGCGGCGGGCCGACCCTTGGACATGCACTTCTCGGGCGCGGACCTCACCGACGGCTACTTCCAGTTTGAGTTCGAGGAGGTCGCGGGGTACTTCTGCCTGGCCCACAGGGTGAAGGCGAGCGACTTCGGCGTCAAGACGGTCTTTGATGATGATCGTCGCTGCTGGGACTCGGTGGGCGCTGACGAGATGCTGTGGACGTGTGTCAAGGTGATCCCGATGGGCTGGACGTGGTCTCTGTTCTTCTGCCACTCTGCGCTGACGGACGTTCAGGTTTGCGCGGAGATGAGGAGATTTGGTCACGGGGATAGAGACACGGTTGACGCGCGGGTCTTGCGCGATCGTCAGCCGCCTCCGATCCTCCAGCCGGGCCTTCCCATTCTCGCGCCCTACGTGGACAACGCTTTCCTGATATGCTGGGGCCAAGAGGACGCCGAGGATTGCTTCAGGTACCTGTTGGAGGAGCTGAAGCGCCGCGGGTTCGCGTGGCGCGACGAGATCCGCGCGGAGCGCGACGTCGTACAGGTAGACTTCGGCTGCGGGGGGGACCTCGCCCGATCGTGGCTCACAAGTCAGAGCGCACCTGGTGGCTGTACTACGCTCTTCACGCGGCCATTCGGTGCCGGCGCTTTTCGGACCGGCAGGTCCGACGTCTGGTGGGGCACCTGGTGAATCACTTCATGCTGTTCCCGCCGTTCATGTCAGTTTTGCACGAAGTTTGGCGCTGGCTCACCGATAACGCGGATCAGGTGAGCGTCCTGACGCCGACGGTGATTGGCGGGCTGCAGACGGCGGCGGGACTGGTGCTCGTCACAAAGCATCAGATGCGTTTGAGGACGGCGACCACGGTGTTCTGCTCGGACTCCAGCGGTAAAGGCTACGCGCTCCACGTTGGCCACTTTTCTGAGCGCGAAGTCCTGGACGCGACGATGTGGAGAGAGCGGTGGCGGTTCAAGACCATCGAGGAGTACACGCAGGACTGCGACGACGACGCGGCTACGGGCCCCAGCTCCATCGCGGCGGGCCCCACGTCGCTCGCGCCCGCCTTCGAGGAGGAGCTGGGCTTCACCGAGGTCGGGGCCACGGATCTGACATCGACCTCGCGGAGGGCGGGATCGTCTCGGGTGGCCTCGCGGCGCGCGACCGTCACCTTGGACGCTCACGCGGTGCCCGAGCTCGCTGCCGTTTACTCTGACCGTCTTCGTTGGCGTCGGGTCGTGGTGGGGGCCTGGTGCCGCGCCGGCGCCATTCACAATGAGGAGGCTCGCGCCGCCTTGCTTGGGCTACGTCGCTATACGAGGTCCTCGTGGAACTGGGACGCTGAGGTTCTGTCGGTCGGGGACAACCTGTCGGAGATCCTGGCGACCGAGAGAGGGCGCGCCAATGATCGCGAGCTCAACGCCCTTTGCCGCCGAGCAGGGGCTCTTCAGGGAGCCTGTGGACTTCGGCGGCGACGTCGGCACCTCGTCAGCGAGCGGAACTGTTCCGACGAGGACTCGCGCCTCGCTGATCGTGGGTTGCTGACGGCGGGCGAGGCCTTGGGGGGAGGCGCCTTGTGGGCGCGTCTCCGAGGCCGGGGGCATCGCGACCTCGCAGATAGAGATCGAGTTCGAGCCGCCGAGCCGCCTAGCATGGGCGCAGGATCGTCGTCGTACGATGACGAGGTCCGCGTTCTTCCTTGTTCTTCATCAGACACTACGCGATCGATTTTCACAAGAAGGCCGGCTCCTTTGAGGGCCGCTTCGAAGGGGGAGGCGACTTCTTCGGCTCGGCTGAGCTCGCCTGGGCGCCGAGGCGGTAGTACGCTCTCCAAGCCGATTGCCCCAGCATGCTGCGGCCTGGCCATTTTGGAGCTGTTCGCAGGATGCGCTCGGTTTTCCGGAGCTTGTCAACAAAAAGGGTTGCGGATCGCTCCCCCCTTCGTCATCAACACGTCCCAAGACTATGATATTACCAACCCACGGGTTCTCAACAAAATACTGAACTGGATGAAAGTTGGGAAGATTTGGTTGCTTTGGCTAGGCACCCCGTGTACTAACTGGACCAGCGCCCGTAGTTCTCCTCAGGCTCCTGACGATATCCGGGACCCCGCCGCTATGGCTACGCTTCGTACTCTCCGGGCTGCACATCAATATGGGGTAAAGTGGATACTCGAGAACCCGATTGGCTCCAAGCTCTTCAAGTGGACGCCCCTTAAGGATCTCGTCGAGACTCAGGGGGCCCAGGAGACCATCGTGGACTATTGCCTGTGTGGCACCCCTTATCGGAAGAGAACTCGTCTCCTGAGCACCCTTGAAGGCCTCGCTGAAGTAGGTAGACTCTGTCGGTGTCAGGTCCCTCACGAGATCCTCCAGGGGAAAGTTCGGGTTGAAGATAGTTCGGGACGGTCTTAGATGAAATGGAAGACTACACTTGCTGCCGCTTATCCACCCGCTCTCTGTCGTGAATTGGCTCGAGTGGTTGAGCGTCATGCTCCACCTCGGGCTTTTCGTAATCCTCGCGAACAAGTTTTACATGTCCGATGGTGTCTCGACCTGGCGTCCTCGTGCGGAGGTAGAGCAGTCGAGCCGCCGCCGATCCCAACTTGTCCCAGAAGATTCACACTACCGTGGGGAGATCACTCAGAACGCTGGGGCCGCGGCGACTCGCGTCGTCGGCGGGCCCGAGCGCTTGCCCCAGCCTGGCGGCTCCAGGGGCGCCCGCGCCGGTGCGGCGCCGGCGGCGAGCTCAGCAGCAACGTCAAGCCGCTGTCGTTCGGCGGAAGGCGAAGCGCGACCAGCTCGACGAGCCCGAGGGGGAGGCCGGCTTCCTGGCGAGGCGCCGGGTGAAGCCGGTGACGCTGCAGCGCTACCAGCAGGCGATGAGGAGCTTCACGGAGGCGTTCCCTCGGGCGGGGCAGGCGGAGTGCTCTCTGCAGGAGTTCGACATGCTGCTCGAGAAGTACATCACCATCCAGTTCTTCAACGTCGGAGCGCGAGCACACGAGGCCAGAGACGTGCTGTACGGCAGTGCCTGGATGCGACGCGCCCCGGCGTCGCGCCTGCCCGCGGCCCTCAGCGCCCTCGACGGCTTCAAGAAGGAGGACGCGCGCCACGCCCGCGACCCATGCCCATGGGAAGCGACGGTGTGCATCGCCGCGGCCATGATGATGCTCGACAGCTCGCTGGGACCGTCGGCAGCGGCGGCGGTCCTCCTCGGGTTCGACACCTACAGCCGGCTCGGCGCGCTCCTCGACATCAAGGGTCGCGACCTGCTCAAGCCGGTCCGAGGCATGAGGCCTCAGCGGTGGGCCGTCGCGTTCTTTCCCGAACCCGACGGCGCGGTCAGTGGCTCAACCAGCTCTCGCCGCAGCTGGTCAGCGGTCTCGCCGCGACCGACAAGGCCTTCCCGATCAGCCAGGCGCACTTCAGAAAGCTCTTCGAGCAGGCCGTCAAGTCCCTGGGCATGGAGGCGCTGAAGTTCGTGCCCCACATGCTCCGGCACGGAGGGCCCAGCGCCGACTCCTTCGCGGGGGTGCCGCTGGCGGAGATCCAGCGCCGAGGCCAATGGGCTGCTCTGAGGTCGGTCATGCGCTACAGCAAACACGGAAGATACCTGCGTGTTCTAAATCAAGTCCCACTTAAAGTTCGAAATTTATATGCCGCCAAGTTGCGCTTTCTCAAAACCAACCTGCCGGGCAAGCTGCGCAATGCACGATCATGAACCCACCCGCCCAGTCCTTCATGATCCATAGCCAAGAGTATTGTGGACGAGACTCTGGATAGTTGGCCATGTCTTCTTTCTTGTGGAGTCTCAGCCGCGGCTGTGCCGACAGAGTTTCAGGCGAGCTGATTTCTTGAACTGGTACGCTCGGGGTGGGTCGAGCGCACGTGCCAAAAATGATTGCAGATCTCCCAGGCTCATCGTTCACCCTATCGTCGGCGGTCTCTGTGAGTGAGGGTTGCCTTTTCCTGAGCCTGTCGGCTTTCCCTCGCCTCCCCCCTCTTGGGCTCTCTCCTGGGGTCCGGTCCTTTTTGGCCCGCGACGCTGAAGGGAAGGAAATGCCCCGTAGCTCCGCTTCCTTTTTTCCTTCTGTGAGTCGAGGGGATCGGCTATACATGTTGATCCGTAGTCTTGGTGTTCCCGCCCTGCCATCCCCTGCACCATCGTGTGTTTCTAAGGCAGTGGCCATGTCTTCTTTCTTGTGGAGTCTCAGCCGCGGCTGTGCCGACAGAGTTTCAGGCGAGCTGATTTCTTGAACTGGCACGCTCGGGGTGGGTCGAGCGCACGTGCCAAAAATGATTACAGTTCTCCCAGGCTCATCGTTCACCCTATCGTCGGCGGTCTCTGTGAGTGAGGATTGCCTTTTCCTGAGCCTGTCGGCTTTCCCTCGCCTCCCCCCTCTTGGGCTCTCTCCTGGGGTCCGGTCAAGGGAAGGATATATATATATATATATATATATATATATATATGCGTGTGTGTGCATGATCCATAGCCAAGAGTATTGTGGACGAGACTCTGGATAGTTGGCCATGTCTTCTTTCTTGTGGAGTCTCAGCCGCGGCTGTGCCGACAGAGTTTCAGGCGAGCTGATTTCTTGAACTGGTACGCTCGGGGTGGGTCGAGCGCACGTGCCAAAAATGATTGCAGATCTCCCAGGCTCATCGTTCACCCTATCGTCGGCGGTCTCTGTGAGTGAGGGTTGCCTTTTCCTGAGCCTGTCGGCTTTCCCTCGCCTCCCCCCTCTTGGGCTCTCTCCTGGGGTCCGGTCCTTTTTGGCCCGCGACGCTGAAGGGAAGGAAATGCCCCGTAGCTCCGCTTCCTTTTTTCCTTCTGTGAGTCGAGGGGATCGGCTATACATGTTGATCCGTAGTCTTGGTGTTCCCGCCCTGCCATCCCCTGCACCATCGTGTGTTTCTAAGGCAGTGGCCATGTCTTCTTTCTTGTGGAGTCTCAGCCGCGGCTGTGCCGACAGAGTTTCAGGCGAGCTGATTTCTTGAACTGGCACGCTCGGGGTGGGTCGAGCGCACGTGCCAAAAATGATTACAGTTCTCCCAGGCTCATCGTTCACCCTATCGTCGGCGGTCTCTGTGAGTGAGGATTGCCTTTTCCTGAGCCTGTCGGCTTTCCCTCGCCTCCCCCCTCTTGGGCTCTCTCCTGGGGTCCGGTCAAGGGAAGGATATATATATATATATATATATATATATATATATATATATATATGCGTGTGTGTGCGCGTGTGTGTCATTGGGCCCCTTCAATTATTCCCATCCCCATCCACATCTCGAGCCCCACAGTCTCACCGCCTCAGCTGGGGACATGCCCCTCAAAACCCGCAGAGAGCTATCCATATATTATCTATATATATATATATATATGTATATATGTATGTGTATCCCCATCAGGGGGGTGAATCGGCCAGAGGGGCCAGCCCACGCTGGTGGGGACGGGGATCGGTTAAACGATGCTCATCGCCGCCGACGATGCTCTGGTGCCAGCCCTCTTGACCATAGCGTGTCCTCGGCGCAGCGTAGTCCGTGCTGGCCGTGGCCACGATGGTCCTGAACGGCACGTCGTAGGGCCGCCGCCCTTCGCCACCGTCGTCTCGCGACTCCCACCCGGCCCTCGTGGTCCCCCGCTGCAGGGCTTGGCCACACGAGCTGCCGAGGAGTGCCGTGCGCATCGCATCCTTCCTCGGACACAAGGTTGTTGGAGATGCCGGAGGTCTCTGTATAGCGCAGCCCTGTGCTCCGCTGGCCACACGCAGCCCACCATGGCGTTCTCTGTGGAGCCGATCTCCCAGAAACTCGGCCGCTTGCGCTTCTTTCTGTGCCGGAAGAGCCTCGCTTCTGAATGAGAGCTCCGCCTCCCGCCAGGTGCGACAGCTCGGGGTGCATGCCCATTACTCGCCACGGCAGCCTCTCGTGCCCCGCGGCGAGGAGCTTTCCCAGGGTCGAGTCCCCGATCTCGTTGAGGTCGACCGCCTTGCCTTCGTCGCTGTCGGTGAGGCCCAGCCTTACTGCCGCCCGCCCTAGGCGGTGGCACGCAAGGACGCATGCCGCATGAGGGCCCCTGCCAACGGACTGCTCTGGGCCCTTCTCCGCCAACGTGGCAACGGCCCCCGCGAACGCGCTGCCCAAGGCCCTCAGGGCCTTCGCGTCGTTGACCTGCACCGCCTTCGCCCACGCGATGATGGGCAGGGTCACCTGGTCCTTCAGTGGGCCGGTGTCCAGAGTCTGTCCGAGGAGGAAGCCGAGGCTGAGGTTTTTCCCCTGCCCCCTGCCGTGATGCACTGCGTTGACTTGCCTCCTCCCTTTCGCGACCAACGAGGAAGGCAGTCCCACCACGCTTAGGCCACACCTCGCAGCGGGTCTGAGGCCTGTGTTCGCCGCGCTCGTTGCGCCCGCGGTGTGCGCTGTTGCCTGATGGCATGCAGCCGCTGTGGCTGCGCTTCCGCCTTGGAGAAGCAGGGCCACTAGATTTGTACCAGCTTGAAAATGAGGGAAGGTTGAGTAGGATAAGTACGGATATGGCACGGACGATGAGTCTGGATGATAGAAAGGACGACGAGGAGGAGGAGGCGGGTAACCAGGAGGGGAAGGAGGCGGAGGAGGTCTCCGAATTCCTCGTCCTACCTGTCCTTATTCCTCCCTGTGTTTCGCTGCTTCTCCCGCCTCTCTTATTCTTATCCCGTCTCAACCTCCTCGCTCCCTCCTTTCCCCCCCCCCTCCTTTTCCTGCCTGTGGCGGCAGCAGGGCGGAGCCTCGCCCCGTTCCTCACACGCGCGCTAAGAGGTCGAGATCTTGACCCCGCCGTGGTACGTCGTCGGGCTGCCCGGTGCAGGCAGCCACCACTAGCCCTCCTCCAGGAGGAGGGGGGTGAGGAAGAGACGAGGAGGAGGAGGAGGAGGAGGAGGAGGAGGAGGAGGAGACGAAGAGGAGGAGGAGGAGGAGGAGGAGGAGGAGGAGGAGGAGGAGGAGGAGACGAGGAGTTGGAGGACGAGGAGGAGGAGGAGGAGGAGGAGGACCTTCGCGTGGCTATCGGAATGAATTCGATCCGCCGCGGCTCGCGATCCCTTCCCGAGGCGACTACAAGATGCCACTGTGCCTCTCGATACGGCGCCTGCGATGCGGAAGAAACTAAGGCGCGAGCATCGGCCAGCTGTCGGACAGCCTGCTTGCAGAACAGCCCCAAAAAGAGATGGGCAGCCTGAACACCACAGGAGAATGCATAGCCCCCTCCGGATGCTGGAGGTGAGGCTCTCTGGACATCCGGGACGCCGCCCCGCTCGGGGCTGGCGCCGGATGCCTCGCTGCATCGACGTGCCGTCGGCTTGTGTTTGGCCGACTGATGACATTGTCGATCGAGCACGATGTTGGCAGCTCAGCCCGAGCGCTGGGCCTGGGTCCTGTACGTCGGCCACCCATTCTGTCATCAGCGTCTGGTGTTGGGTCACTTGCGGCGGCTCGCAGCAGCTCCGATTGAGACATGGAGGCTCATCATCATCATCATCATCATCATCATCATCATCATCATCATCATCATCATCATCAGCATCAGCATCAGCATCATCATCATCAGCAGCAGCAGCATCATCAGCATCATCAGCATCAGCATCGTCATCATCATCATCAGCATCGTCATCATAATCCTCATCATCATTCTCAGTATCATTGTCATCGTCATTATCAGTTTCAGTATCATCATCATTATCATCACCATCAGTATCAGCATCAGCATCAGCACCACCACCACCACCACCACCACCATCATCATCATCATCATCATCATCATCATCATCATCATAAGAATCACCATCAGCATCAGCTTCAGCAGCATCAGCATAAGCACCGTCACCATAACCACCACAAGCATTATCAGATTCATCATCACCACCATCATCATCATCATGTTACCATCGTCATCGTCATCGTCATCATCATCATTGCCGTCTTCGTCATTAGCATCAGCAGCATCACAACTTCCAGCATCATCAGCATCATCATCATTATCGTCGTCGTTGTCGTCTCCATTGGGTGATCAGCGACCGAGCTCGCATCTCTGGGATCACCCCTCAAGACAGCGACCCGTGCCGACGGGCCCCGGTTGCGGCGGAACTCACGACGCGACACCCAGGCGCCGTGCTCCCAGGATGCGGCCGTCGCTGGCGCGCCCCTCGTGGCTCCCGCTTGGGGTTGGCTCGTGTCTCTCTCGGCGGCGGGCGCAGGCAGCTGCTGGCCCGCCGCCGCGGCACGCTGCTCATCGACTGAGCCGATGTCGGCGGCGGTCAGCTTCGTCTTGAGCGTCTGGGTTTAAGTCGGGCCTGTGCATCTACAGGAGGAATAGTCCAACATAGTTAGAGATAGTCTGGGGACGATGTTTCGCTGTTATTGCTTTGTTGCTTGACTATGTTTGATCATGGTTTAACAATTGTTTATCTTTCGTCCAACATCCGCCTGTTGGAGGACATGCCCGACCCAAGGCTGGGTCCGTCTGTTGAGCGATTGGATCTGCTCTCCCGAGCTTTTGCCCCGAGGCCGGCGGTCTTCGTTTTGGTTTGGGGAATTCCGCCGCGCCGATGTATCGTTGACCCTGCGTCCCGATGCAGTTTTTCATGAATGACGCCCTGGATCTGGTGGCCCTTCGGCTTGGCCTGGCTGCCGGTCCTCGTCTGCGACGGACTGGTTGCGCAGCGGTGTCGGGGCACTCCTGCGCCCACCGGTTTTCCGCCGTTCGCCGCGCTTGGACGGTATCCGCTGAGTCGTTCTTCTTGCCGTGCCTGTGCTGGCAGCCTAGGCCTCCTAGATGGGGTCGGAGTAGACGGGGTCGGAGTGTCGCGCCGCATCGCCGATGCATCGCCGATGCGGCTCGATGTGCAGCCCGTACTTCCCCACGCCGACGTCGCCGGTGCATCGCCGACGTCGCCAGTGCATCGGCGATGCATCCCCGATACATCGGCGATGCATGAGCGATGCGGCGCGATCCTTCGACCCCGTCTACTCGGACCCCATCTGGGAGGCCTCCAAGGCAGCGGCTCCGCTTCCGGAGCTCGGTGCCGCAGCTCTGCGTTTCGGCGGCCCTGGTCCGCCCGCGGGCCCCCGGCAGTGCTGTGCTGCGCGGCAGGCGGGGAGGGCCAGCGGGAGCGCGCCTGCGGGGTGCCAGGGCCGGCGGGAGGAAGCATGCGGGCGGGCGGGCGGGAAGTCGGCACGAACGAAATGGGCACGGAAAGAGTGGGTACGATGCCCAGCAGCACCTCCTGCCCATCTTGAGCAGGACTGGCTGTCCGCGCCGCCGCGGCCTGTGTCCAGAAGGCCGCCTGCCCAACAGCGGCCGCTGTGGGTTTGGGACAACATTTGTTGATGGGCATTGTACCCATTTTTTCCGTACCGATTTCGGGCGTCCAAAGGAAGGGACAAGAGGGGAGACAGCAAACGGGGAGCAAGGGAGGAGGAGGCGCGGGAGAAGAGGAGGAGGGGCGTGTTCCGCACCCGCTGCGCCAGGCAGCAAGCAGGGAGCAAGGGAGGAGAAGGCGCGGGAGAGGAGGAGGGGCGTGCTCCGCTCCTGTTGCACCAGATTGCTGTCTTAGCCCGATCCAGACTGAAGCACCCGCGCTTGCGGCGAACCGCGTAGCGCGACATGGCGGGCGGCCCTGGGCTTTTCTGGGGAGCGCTCGGCTGATGCCTCAGCCTCAGCCGCGTGCGGAGGAGTGGGCGTCGGTCGTTCTGGCGCGGCCTTTCGAGCCTCCTCGCTTTGGCCGCGTCTAGGTTCGCAGCGCCAGGGCGTGCGTTTCGACCTTGAGCTAGAATGGCTACGAGCTGATAGAGGAGAAAGGAGAGGGGGGGAGGAGGAAGAGGAACAGCAGCATGACCATGAGAACGGATGAAGGCGGGATCGCGCGCGCGTGGGTGGAATGGGAGGAGAAGCAGGAGGAAGGGGTCTCGGGAGAGGGGAAGGACGGGGGGGAATGTTGGAGTGGTTCTGCGACCTCCTGAGGGACCATCGTCGCCACCAATGGCCCAGAATCGGCCCTTCTCGAACGGTCCACGCAATTCTGAACTTGTGATCGTTCGAAGCTGAGCCATCCTTCAGTCGGGCCTGTTCCTCTACAGGGGGAACAGTCAAAAATAGTCAAAACATAGTATGGGGACTATTCTGTTTAGCATGTTTTGACTATTTGGGAGTATTTTTCGAGGATTTTTATTGTTTCGTCCACAATCCCCCTGTAGGGGGACACGCCCGACTTAAAACTGTCCACGCGGTGTCAGAAAAAGCCATCGCCGAATTCGTCACGACATCACCCTGCCGTGCGTGCGAAGAACGGCTCGGTCGCCCGCGGGCGCGCCCGTGACAGTCGTGTTTTTCGCGCGCCGCGGGCGGGACCACTGCGGCATGCCCCCCTCCAGGGGGGCGGCGCGAAGGCGCGACGAGCCAAGGCACGTCGCGCGACCGCGCGGCGCGAATTGCCAAGGCACGCGTGCAGAGGGGGGGGGTAGGCGGGAGGAGGAGCTGGAGCAGGAGCTGGAGCTGGAGCGGCAAGGGGAGGACGAGGGCGAGGGCGACGACGACGGCGGCCAGGACGGCGACTGCGGCGACGGCGCCCGCGACGACGATGAGGACCCCGGCCCCAAGCGGAGGCGGGGCGGCGTGGCCAGATACCGCAGCAGCCGCGCGGGCGGCGGCATCGACGACGGCCGGGAAGCTCTGCGAGGACCCACGCGCGCGCCCTCGTCCTCTGCGTCTTCCTCGTCCCCGTCCTCCTCGCCCTCGTCCTCGTCCTCGTCCTCGTCGTCCTCCTCCCGAGCCTCGGCTTGGCATCGCTCGGATGGGAGGCGCGGATTCCCTGCGAGGGCCGTCGAGGATCATCCCGGATCGTCCAGCATACAAGCACGCACGAGACCGAACATGCACGGGGAATGGTCGCCCGAGCGACGGCGAGTCAGACGCATCGATTGGGAGGGCGGCGCGGTGGCGAGATGGCGTGACCGGCGCCGACCTCGAGGAGGTGAAGGCACGACTTGGCGCAACCAGCCGGCATTCGTCCCACACGCCAGCAAGCTCAGCGCGGAGGGCCAAGTCTTTCGATCAGTGGCGAAGCGCCCTGGCTCGCCTATAGCCCTACCAAGCAATGTTCCAATAACCTCTTGTGCTTTCCACGACATGCTCTCAGAACATTTCTGGCGGAGCCTGTCTTGTTTTATCACATCGGGTTTATGCTCTAAGAACACTGTCTTTGTTCTTAGGACTTCTTTGGGTTCTAAGAGCATTTCGTGGTAGGACTATAAGAATGCCAGGACGGTCGGTCCCTGCTCAAAAGTGCGGCGTGTTCCACTCAGCAGCGAATTCGGCGCCACAGTCGTGAAGAAGATCGGCGGCGCGCCCCCTCGGAAGGCGGCGGGACTTCTCGGAAGCCCTCGCGCCTTCTGAGAAGTGTTCTTCTAGGCATCCCAGGGGGTCGGAGTGGATAGGGTCGGAGGATCGCGCCGCATCGCCGCTGCATCGGCGATGCATCGGCGATGTATCGGTGATGCGGCTCGATGCGGGGCCCAGTTCTCCCACGCCGACGTCGCCGATGCAGCTCCGACGTCGCAAGAGCATCGCCGATGTATCGGCGATGCGGCAAGCTCCTCCGACCCCATCTACTCGGACCCCATCCAGGAGGCCTCTAGTTCTGCCATCGGGGAAGGATCAGGCAACTTCTCAGAATACCAGGGGACTTCCGAGCCTTTTGAAGGCCTTCTCTTCTCCCTTCCCCCACTGGCTCGCAGCCGAGAAGAGGGGGAGAACAACATCCCATGACGAACCAAAGCGATCTGTGGGGAATGTTTTGGCCGTCTGCGGTGTCCGTGGGCATCTTGCGGGCCCTGCGAAAGGGTTCGAGAATGTCATGGATCCGCGTAGTCGGAAGCCGAATCGTCGCTGGAAGGGTTCGAAGACTTCATGGGTTCGTGGAAACCGAGTCATCGGAGGTCCAGGTCCATCATGCTCCTTCTACTCCTCCTCTTCGTGATCCTCCTCATCCTGCTCCCTACTCCCTTGTCCTGTTGTGCCTCCTCCTCCTCTGCCTCCTCTTCCTCCTCCTCCTCCTCCTCCTCCTTCTCGGTCAAACGCATGATGTTTATCGCCTTTGTCTTCGGAGCAGGGTTGAGTGGGCTAACGTGCATGGTGCTCAGCAAAGCCCAGACTGATACACTGGATGCGCTCTTTGGCAAATATCTTAGGACGTTGGCTCGTGGTCGCATGTCATGGACGAGGGAGGATGGCACGACACGTTACAGCATAGCCAGGGTATTCAGGGAACGGAGGCCGGAACGGACAGAGGTTGCGTTACGAGCTCGCAGGGTAAAGTGGTACCAACAATGGGCCAACTTCCCACACGCCCACGGGAATGTAATTGCAGCTATATTTGGTGACAGTGTGATGGAGCGACTAGCAGGGGTGAATTGACTATTGCTTGGGGATTGGGTCGGGCCTTCCTCCACTCCTATGGCGATTCAGTACCGTCAAGATCTAGACGAGCTTGCATCCCTTGATGAAAACATGCATGCGTGGTACTCTCGCAGGTCATCCGACTTAGCTATCCTCACTCCAGGTACGGTGGAATGTCAACAATGACTAAGCGTGGACACAAGTATCTTGCGTACTTAGCACAGCGAGGAGGAGGAGAAGAGGAGGAAGGAGAGCAGGAAGCAGAGGAGGAGGTGATGGAGAGGCCCTTATGGTGTGACCATCCTCGCGTCGACGGGGAGGGGACGGAAACCATCTGTGGCAAACGATACCAGACAGCCCAGGCACTTCAGGCTTACAAGAGAGGTGCGCACAATGTGCGCACGGTTCTCACCCGGCTCGTTGTCACAAACCAATGCCCGTGGTGTTTTAGCATGTTCAACAGTAGAAAGACGGCGAGTGACCAATGCCACGAATCGGTCGAGAGACATGGAATTTGCTACATTGACCACAGAAAGTGGGCCCACGACATTATTGAACCGTTGTCTCTCGAGTGCGGCATCTGTGGACATGAGGCCCAAGACTTGCTGTCTTCCCAACACCACGTTCGCGCCCATCACGAAGGCCCCCACTGTGTGAAAGAAAGAGCTCGCGATGGCGGTGCAGAGGCTGCCGAAAGCAGACTGGCAGCTTGGAGGCAAACGAGGAGCATGCTCGCAGGCCTAGAGATTGACACCAACACCACTATCGGCGCTGTTCCTCCACCGAGGGAAGAAAGATCCCGATCTCGGTGATGGTGGTAATATTCTGGCTTCCAAGGTGGCCGAACTATTACCACCAACACCGAAGATCTAGGATCACCTTCCCCCTGTGGAGGCAACCCCCTGTCTTGGTGTTGGTGCCAATTTCCAGGCCTCCGACATGCACCGAAATGGGCGGCGCCAGAAAGGACCGCCCGGCGGCATGCGAGGGGCGGAAGCGGCGGTCGCCCGCCGCCGAGAGGCAGCAGGCTCTTCGACGACGACTACTCCAGATTTCGTAATAAAGGGAGGGGGGTCTCATTTCGGGGGGGGTCTCTTCCAGGCTATCTTGGAGGGCCTGGGGGGGTCTGGGGACGATGTTTTGGAGGGTTCTCCCACGGGGGGGGGGTCTGAAATGGCTTGTCTTGGAGGGTCCAGACCCCCTCCCTTTTATTACGAGATCTGGAGTACGACCACTACGAAGAGAGGCTGAACGTGACCATGAAGCTCGCCCCGCGGAACGCCCAAGACACGAGTGAGGTGACGCACGCGACCAGCGACTTCTGGCTGATCCCATCGGAGGTCAGGACCTCCAGGCGGGCATCCAGGCCGCGAAGAAGTACGGGACGGAGGTGCGAGTTTTGGGCAAGCGTCACGGATGGCCCCCCCCCACGTGTACGTGGCGATCGAGGTCTTCCGCGAGTTGCACGATCTCCATGGACGGCACCAACGGGAGCGAGATGGAGAAACAATGCAAGGCCATCCTTGGCGAATTCATTGCCAGCACGACCAACCAGTACGGACTTTTGATAATCCAGGAAGTGTTCCAATCTTTCAGGGCCAACGAGACCTACGCGAGGGAGGACGGGGAGGGGTGCAGCAGGATGGGGAAGCTCCAGTACAGCCTCAACCCCGACCCCGTCTTGGGCGCGATCCTTCAGGAGAAGGAGATCGGAGAGCCTGCCCTGACCTGGGTCCGCGGCTTCACGGTGTTCAAACTCAAGGAAGCGATGACAGTGGGGTTCTTGGGGCTCAATGCCACCAAGGCGAAGGGAGTTGGGCCCAAATCGGCCTTAGAGCGGGCAGTGGAGGCCTCCTTCCGCCGCAGGCGCGGATAGACCAAGACGCCGACGGACAAGTCAACCTACCTGTGCCGAGAGAGACGAGGGGCACTCCAGAGCTTGATCCTCCAACCTCGGTAGCCAGCGGTACTTTGCATTATCCTTTTTTCTCGTCTCCAGTCAGATGGCCACCAGAGAGCGACTTGGAACAATTTGCCAACGCGATCAGTCTCGACCTCCGAAGATGCTTGGCCCTTAGGGAGCAGAGGCAGGTACGCAACAAGTTGAACGAGATTTATGAATTAGCCATGCGTTACAGAGGAGGAAGATAATCGTGGACCTCAGTCAGGGACCCCATCAAGGAACTACTTCCGGCGGGGCTCAGGCTGGTACCAGGACAAGGGGATCTACAGGCTCTACGGGACCCTCTTCGATTAGGCGTACCGGCCCACCACGACTCGAGGGGACCATAGGCAGCCAAAGCAACCCGTCACAGGGAACCCCGGCTAGGACACCAGAGACCCCACGGGAGGTTACAGGCACCGACGGTAAGGCTTCGCAACGAGGACCACCTGAGGTACCGACGGGGCCAGGACTGCAACTTGTGGCAGCCTCCAACACCAGCTCTGACAGTGTGGTGTTTCCCCCACGCTCCTGCACCGACGGTCCGTTTTGGAGTCTTGGCTCAGTGCCGAGTTTTTTGCCTGTACTTCTTGCTACTGTGTACCCCTTAAAGTTGACATGGTCGAACCACGAAATCCCCGTTCTTTCTTGTCAGCGCATTTGACACACGTCGACGCTCGATTCTCGCCTCCCATTGGTCAGCTCATGTCACCAAACGAGCTTCTGACAGCCAGGAGACCGACTTTCCTTGAACAAGTACGCCATGTAAAAAGATGCAGCCAACGCGCTTCAACGTCACAAGTGCCTGTTAGCACTCAGCTTGCAGAGGCTCAAGACGCCTACCCACTGGGAAGTTAGAGAGCAACGGCAGCAACAGGAGGTACTGCGACGCCTCAGGACTCAGATCACGATTGCAGCAACCTGTATAAATGCATTGCGCTACACTCAGAGGTTGCTGAAAGGAGAAGACGAGGCCCTTATCACCTTTCCCCGACCAATTGAATTTCACCGATGGGCTGGGCATCGAATGAGCTTCTAGAGCAGAACTGAGAGACGGATATCAGCCAGCCCATTGGGATGGGTAGAAGGGTCCGTCTACAGGGCGGCTGGGCAGGGTGGAAGGTTTTTTCGTGCACAGCAAGTTCGGCCAGATGCCAGATCGCCCTTCTTGCTTTTTCTTTGTTGCTCTCTCCGTCGGGCAGGGGCCAGCCGCCTCTCGGGAGGCCCCGCGCCCAGTGAGGCCTGGACTCTTCCCCACGCACCACGGCTTCACCGAGCCGCCCGGCCTTCTTCTTCGCAGCCATGTGGAACGGTGTTCGGGCCTCCTCACGATTGTACAAGGAGCGAGCAGCGGGGGCTTGGTTGAGCCCTTCGCCGAGGCTACCGTGCCTCACCGCCGATGGTCTCCCGCCCACCAGGAAAGGTCCTGTTCGGCAGGACGCCAGGCTGGCCCTGCCAGACGCGAGGGCCAGCTCCATCCCCCCGCAGGGGTCCGACGAACGCACTAGCGTAGAGGAGCTTTGGCCCCCGAGCGCCTGCCTTGCCTGCCTTGCCTTGCCTTGCCTTGCCTTGCCTTGCCTTGCCTTGCCTTGCCTTGCCTTGCCTTGCCTTGCCTTGCCTTGCCTTGCCTTGCCTTGCCTTGCCTTGCCTTGCCTTGCCTTGCCTTGCCTTGCCTTGCCTTGCCTCCTCCTCCTCCTCCTTCTCCTCCTCCTCCCCCTCCTCCCCCTCCTCCCCTCCCTCTTCCCCCCATGCTTCTATCTATCATCTCTCATCCTCTTTTACTCCTCGCCCTCGCCCTCATGTTCGGCCTCCTCCTGGCGCAAGAGTAATTCGTCACCAGGCTGGGAAAAAAACGGGAGGGGGGAAGGTTAGAAGGGCTTCGGGGGGCGAGCTCGGGCAGTGAGGGTTGCAGGGAATGGCTTCTGATTTCTCTTCTTCAAGAAGCAGGCCCACGATGGGTGGAGCAGACGAAGCGGAGAAGAGGAGGAAGGAGTTGTGTAGCATCTCTGTGCCGCCGCCGCCGCCTGCTGTTGTTGAACGATACTGCGCATCCGACGCTGTTTTGTATCATCATATTTTTCTGTCAACATCAGGATTGGATTGAGCAGGAGGAGGAGGAGGAGGAGGAGGAGGAGGAGGAGGAGGAGGAGGAGGATGTATAAACAATGAGACAGCGAGGTGGCGGCGATGGGGAGGACAGGGCCGACAGGGCCTCTCTTCCGCAGGAGGCCGTGGACGATGAGACGACCCCCGAAGGCCACCAGCGTCGGCGGATGTCTATCGCTTCCTCTCTTGCCGCTGATCCTCCCGCTCCTCGCACTTGGAATTTCGGAAATGTATCCCCCTCTTTCTGTTTGTTTATCTTTATCTGTCGTTTTTTTTTTTGTTTCTCTCTCTCTCTCTCTACCTCTCTCTCTCTCTATATATATATGTTTTGTTTCTCTTTCTCTTTCTCTCTCTCTCTCTCTCTCTCTTTCTCTTTTTCATTATATTGAACTCTCTTTCTCTTTCTCTGTCTCTCTCTCTCTCTCTCTTTCTCTCCTACCTCGCACTCTATCCTGCTTCCCCTCGCCCCACCTCTCCCTCCTTCTGCCTCCGCCCCGTTCCCCCTTGCACTCCAACGTGTTGCAGGGGCCTGCTCTTCAGGCGGCCCTCTCGCCCCACTTCTTGGCGCGCTTCCGCTTGCGGTGGCTGCGCCGTTCTGCTCCCCCCCCCTTCTCCGCTGCCCGGTTCTCCGGTTCTCTTTTCGCCATGCCCTCCCTCGTTTCCCTCCCCTCCCCCGTCTTCTCCGCCTCTTCCCCACCGCCCCTCCCCCCCCACACATCACTCCCCTCCCCCATTTGTTCCCCAGTTCCCCCCGGCGCACCTCCGCGCCATGCCCTGATGGGCACGGGCCAGTTCCCCATCGGAGCGCGCGGCGCGCGGCTGTCCGGCGGTCAGGTTCCGCTTCCTGCGTCCCCAGGGGGAATGCAGAGGGCGCGGGCCTTGTCAGAAGGCTCGGCATGCCTCGCAGGGCTGAACCTAAACGGTGTTTGTCGTTTGCGTGTTGTTTTCGTTTTCCCTCGTTTTGTCTTCGATTCCCCTTTACCGCAAAACGAATTCGAAACGAAAACGGTCCGCGTAATCGCCAAAACACCGTTTAGGTCCAGCCCTGATGCCTCGTGCCTTCTGAGAAGCTTGGGAAGTCTCCCCCGAAGATACGGGACATGTTTTCACAAGGCGCCAGGGATTCTGAGAAGCCCCGCCGGCTTCTGAGAAGGCTTGCCTCCTCTCGTTTGCCCCCTTGGGCTCGCCGCCGACCCACGGGATCCCGAAGTCCCACGTCGCGGACAAGAGGATTGGATCCCTGGACCCCATTTTTGCGCTCCGATGTTTCTGGCTGGGTCGACCTTCGTCGTCGATGACCCCACGGCCTTGGGGAGGCCGAGCGCGTCCGCCATTTGGTTTTCGTCACGATGCCCAGAGGTTTGAGAGCGAAACGGAGGAGGATGCATCGTTTCTACAAGTCACCATCGACCCCCTCCTCTTGCAGGAGCGATACCAGCCATGGCGACGGGCGCTCCCCATGAGACAGCAAAAGCGTGAAGCCCTCGCTCCCTCTTCGTCCCTCTTCGTCCATCGATTGCCCTTCGTGGGGTGGCTACCCTGCGAGGTCCTCAATAGATGACGCAATCGTTGTGTGTACTAGTCTGGCAATGGCCTCGCGAGGTTGCAACCGTTGGGCCGGTCCAATGCCGCAGTTGTTTTTCTTTTCTTTTTTTGTGTGTGTGTGTGTGTGTGTGTCCGTGTCCGCGTGAACGTTTGCGTTTCAAGTGTTTAATTTGGCAAGCCGTATATTCAGCGTGTCAACATGCTGTTTCCGCGGCCGCGGGGACTTTTGCGGGGCCCAGGCAGTGCCGCAACCATCATGCTAGCCAGGAGTCGTTGTCTACGGCATTGTGAACAACGGTTGCAATGCGACCCTCCCAGGGTTGTTCCCTGTTTACATGGTACTCGCCGACCCTCACGCTCTGAACTCGATCCTCCTCCCCAGTCCTCCTCCCTCCCCCTCCTCTCTGGCCCAGGGTTCGCGGGCATCGCCGACGCCATCGCCTCGGCGACGGCCACGGCCGTCGAGTGTGGCGAGGTCACGTCGGAGCGCCAGCAGCAGATCTTCGCCGACGCCAGCGCCTCCGCTTGTGCCGGCGGCAAAGCAACCTTCTGTCCCCCCCATAACGCCCTTCCCCCCCCCTCTGAGAGGAGGAGGAGGGAGATTAAGGATCGAGGGTCGATGTAGATTTTGAGATGCGTTTTTTCATACTGCGCCGATCCGAAAGTTTCCCCAATTTCGCCACCGCACTCGCCGCGGCCATCTGGGGGGCAGAGTCGGAGCGCCGATGGGCAGCCCAGCACCGTCTTTGGCCGGAGGGGCCCCATACAATGCAAGGGCAGAGCCTGACCCCCGCCCGGGGTCGCGGGATCTGGTTCCCATTCCCAGTTTGAAATTCTAAATCCCAAACGGTGTACTGACCCGAAAATGAGCAAACGGCATAGGACTTCCTCGAAACAAACTTTCGGGTTCGGTCCTACGACGACCCAAAAAGTTCACCAGCCGACCTGAAAATGTCAAAATCCCATGGGACTTGTGCCAAGAGAAATTTTCGGGTCCGGTTCGAACGACCCGACAATGTGCAAACCGCCCAGGACTCCTTTCAAAAACATCGTTCTCGAGCTCTCCGGGTCCACTCCGAAGAAACCGAGCATGAGCAAGCCGCTTAGAAGTTCCTAGCAAAAACGGTTTCTCGGCGGTTCCGGGCCTCGTCCGAAGGAGCCGCCGGTGGGCAGACCGCTCAGGACTTGCTGTGCAAGAAACGGTTTCCCGGGTGAGCCATTGTCAACGGGAGCGCGCCCCGCGCGGGATCGGGGTTCGCACGGGGGCGCTGCTGCTCTCGCGTGTCCTGGGGGCATGAATTGCCGCGCCCTTCCAGCATAGCGTTTGCGCTGCATTCGCGCGGCGCCGTGCCTCTCAAATCGAAATAAACTTTCGGAGCGCCGATGTATCCTAAGCGTGGGGCTCTTGTCGTTGGCGGGAGCCCGCCGCCTCACTCTTCCTCCGCCCGCCTCATCCCTTCTTCCTCCCATATTATGATGCCCTCACAGCCAGACGCATCCACGCTCAGTGACATTCAGATCCACTCGCACTCGGACGCACTCGCGCTCGTACCCACTCATACACATGCGCTGACGTATTCGGGTTCACTCATAAGCAGACTCACTCACACAGACGCACTCGAACTCTGATTCACTCGCACTCAGCCTCAATCGTACTCATACGTAGTCAAATTCAGACTCACTCATACTCGTGCACACTCACAGACTCGATCACGCTTATACGCACTCACAGTCAGACGACTGATACTCAGAGTCACTCGCACTCGCTCAATGGCACGGACCGTCGCACACTCAGGCTTCTTCACACCTCGGACACTCAGATTCGCAGACCCACCCTCTGGCAGACCCTCGTGCTCAGACTCACTCATCCACAGCGCTTCTCATGCTGATGATCATCGGCGCGTGGCAAGCACAACACTTGGCCTCCCGAGGGGGTCCGGGTCAGGGGTGTCCCGCGGGCCCCTGCGGGCCCCGCTTGTTTCGACCTCTCAGTCATTTTGCGAAAGGTTTGTTTTGCGAGGGGTAGGCGCGCTGCTTCTCATAGCCCCAAAGTCAAGTCCATGATCCCCGCGATGCGGCAGGCAGTTGCTTTTGACCACTCCTCCCGTTTGGAAGAGTGTTCGCTCTGGCTCGAAGGCGGGCTCGTCCATGAGCGTGGCAGTCCTCGTGTGGGCTTGGATGCCTGCGAGTGGGTTCGGGCGTGATGGCTGCGTGGCATTGGCGTTGCTTGGTGGCGCCGCCGTCATCCCAGGGTGGCCCTGCTCCTTGTGGGCCGCCCTGCTGGGTGGCAGCGGAGGGAGGGAGGAGAGGAGAGGAGGGCGGGAGCGAAGAGGGATGGAGGAATGGAGAGAGGGAGGGAGGGAGGGAGGGAGGGAGGGAGAGAGGGAGGGAAGGAGGAAGGAGGAGGAGGGAGAGGAGGAGGAGGAGGAGGAGGAGGAGGAGGAGGAGGAGGAGGAGGGAAGAGGGCGGGACGAGAAGGGGCATCCCGCCCCGCTGGCGCGGCGGAGGGGTCCCGTCGCCGCTTGCGGCTCCGCCCAGCGGCTCGCCGCTGCCGGGGCCGAGCCGCGGCGCCGCCGCGGCGGCGCCGCCGGGCCACTCGGCGGCGCTGGGTTGGGCCTCCCCCGGCGAGAGGCGCGACCACGTGCCGCCCGCATCGCTGTGTCTCAAAGGGGGGTCGGAGCAGACGGGGTCGGAGGATCCCGCCGCGTCGCCGATGCATCACCGATGCGGCTCGATGTGGAGCCCGGTTTGCTTCGCGTCGACGTTGCCGATGCAGCGCCCACGTCAAGGGTGCGCCGCCGGTGCATCGCCGATGCATCGCCGATGCATCGCGATCATTCGAACCCATCTATTCCGACCCCATCTAGGAGGCCTCTAGTATCGCGGGCTCCCTTCTGCGACCACTCGCCAGCCTTACACCTGCGGTTTCAGTCGGCACTGGGGCATCGGGCGCCCCTGCTGGGGTTCACAAGCGCTGCGGGCGTCCCCCTCTGTTCTCGCCCCCCGCCGGTGTTTCAGAGATCTGACCTCACATGTGGATGCCCTTTCCTGGTACCTTCTCTATAACACCACGCATCTCTCGGCTGCTTATATAACATACTGGACACTTCCTTTTCAACGTCCTTCTGCATACCAGTGGCCGCCTTTCCAACTGCCACATAAGCAGCTGTTGCCAATTTCCTAATGCTACCGCTCCTGCTGCTTCTATGTCCTCCACTGCATTATTTCTGCTTCCATGGTTCGGGCTCTACTACTACAGGTTTAGCTGGCAAACCAGTGAACCTTCCCAGCGGCGTTCACTTTCCCGCACCGAGCGTTCGCTTGTGGTTATTGTTGTACCTATGTCGTCTGGAGGAGTTCGACGACGAGCATCACCATGATGGGGATGCGGAGGAGAAGGCGAATTACGATGTTCAGGATGGGATGGGGGGAAGTGGTTTGGCAGGGGGAAGGCAAACGATGGGGGATGGGTCAGAGACGGATGCTGGTGAGGCAGCAGGGGAAGACTTGAACGAGAAGGCGCAGGCGCAGGCGCAGGCGACAGGATGAGAAGGAGGACGGGGGAGGAAGGGGGAAGAGAAGGCGGGGAGAGGAGGAGGAGGAGCCGGGAGGATGGGGACGGACAGGGAGAAGCGAAGGCGGAGCGCGCGTCAGGACCCAGGCCTCCGACGACGCGACTGCTTCGAGTTGCCGGCCCTCACGCCTCTCCACCGGGCCCCCAGCCTGGACCTTGGCTGACCCCGGGCCTCGAGAGGCCGCAGCTCCCGAGAGGCTCTTCGAGGCGACCAGAGGCCACCGGCAGGGGTGCAAACGATGGAAGACGTCCCCCAGCGCCTGGGGAGGAGAGCAGGCAGGCCCCGGGGAGGAGAGCAAAGAGGGGAGGGGGTGCTTTCTGATCTTGCTCCGTTTGTTTAGAGTTGTGCACTGCAGGACTCTGAACCCTTTCGAGTAACGTCGCCAGGGAGGAGGAGAGGCTGGCCCAGGATCGGGATATCAATCGCTCCAGAGCGTCCCTGCACGCTCTCAGAGCGTCCCGGGCGGGTCTGAAACGGCAGCGGCGCCCGATGCATCTTTCAGACCTGGCGGCTCGCGGAGATCCGGGTTCGTCTTGGATGGGGGGAAACGGAGCGCGGAGGCAGGCAGGAGGGGGCCGGCGAGGTCCGCGTGTCTGCTGTGCGGCGCGGCTCCCACGCTCAGGATGCAGGTCAGGAGAGGTTCAGTTCAGCATCGTCGCTGGCGTATCCGTGGCCGAACACCAGCTCGATCCAGAACAGCCCCGTGGAGTCTGGCTCCATCCCGCGCACGTGGGCTTCATTCCAAGATTGACTTGGCCTGGTCCTGCTGAATTGCACTTTACCCCGATTCGTTCTTACGAGAAGAAATCCTTCCAGGAGATGCCTCCTAAGCAGGAGCTCGCTGCGGCAGAACCCTTGAGATGCAACTCGTGAGAGGTTCAATTCAGCATCGGCGCAGGCAGGCGGAACCCTCAGCATGTAACTCGTGAGAGGTTCAACGCAGCATCGGCGCAGGCGTATCCGTGGACGAAGACCGGCTGAATCTAGTACATTCCCGCCTAAATCCGGGGTCGAGTCCCGCGCAGTTCGGCTTCATATAGTTGACAAGGAATAGTTAGTAAAAAAGGGACCCCCCCCCCCCGAAAATAACGCCATGATTGGGGCAATTATTCGCATTTGCGCAAGAGGGCCATAGTTTGCTAACTATGGGTCGGGGCCTGGGAGGGGTCTTGGGGCGCTCTGGGGCCGTCTTGAAGTCGTTCTGGGGAGGTCTTGGGCCGTCTGGGAGCGGTCTTGGGCCATTTTGAGGACGCCTTGGGGCTATTTTGGGGCGTCGTGTAGCCTTCGTGGGCCGTCTTCGGGCCATCTTGGGGCGTCTTGGGCCGCCTGTCTGTAGGCCGTCTTGGATCTTTGTGGAGCAGCCGTCGTTGTGTGGTAGCTATAGGTCGGGGCCTGGGAGGGGTCTTGTAGCGCACTGGGGCAGTCTTGAAGTCGTTCTGGGGAGGTCTTGGGGTGTCCGGGGGCCGTCTTGGGCCATTTTGAGGACGTCTTGGGGCGATCTTGGGCGAGCAACGCCCAGAAGCCTCATGCCTCGAAGTTTCCGCGACAACGGCGACGACGAGGACGAGGAAGAGGAGTATATAGTCTTCTGCGACACAAGCGTGTCAGCCTGCGGCCTGGCGCAAGACGGTGCGCTAGCCGCAATGAGAAACTCAGACTGCCAGGGCCCTCAAACTTGCCCACCTCGACCTCGATGACCTCGTCAATCCAGGCCACGCCCACGTGCCTAGCCGAGAAGAGGGCCCCCCAACAACAGGAGGGGGTGGGGAATGAATGTTCTTTGGAGGGCTCGTGGGAGGGTTCCTGCAAGGCTCTTGGGAGGGTTCCTGCGGGAACTCCTGGGAGGCTCCTGGGGCGGCTTCAGGGAGGCTTGGGTGCTGGACAAAGGGCTGCGAGAACGTTGGGAAGTATGCCTCGCAGTAGACAGCACACGACTGGCCCTCGAGGCCCCAGAAGCGCCACAGCCCTGCGTAGTTGTCCGTCCCGGCGAAGCTCTTGAGGAGTTCCTGCTGGAAAATCATGCATTCTGACGGCGTGACCAGGGCCCCACGGCGAATCCAGCCGTGGCGACGAGTCGGGGTGCCCAGGGTGAATACTCCCCCCCCGCCGAGCTCCCCGACGGCCCAATAACGGCGTTTGCGACGGGAGTGGCGCAGGTAGCTGAGGACGAAGAATTGCCATCCCTCGCCCCCCTCGGGCCCCTCCGCGGTCTCCGGCCCGTGCCGGGTGTCCATGCCAGTGCCGTTTTCCTAGGCCACTGCCTGCTGTGCACTGTCTTGGGTCTAGCTTCAGCTTCATTTGGCGAGTTGAATACCTTTGTTAACTTGACCAGCCACAGGTTGAACCAGAGGCGAATTTAAAAAAAACAAAAAAAAACTCCCCCCCCCTTCCCGACCAGGCATCCGGGGCAGGCGGCGTCCGCAAGGGCCGACGCCGAGGAGGACCTGGGCGGCGACGACTGGCTGCACGGAGCTTGCGAGGCAGCCGCGGAGGCGGTCGCGTGCCTCGCCCGCCTCCTCCTCCTCCTCCTCCTCCTCCTCCTCCTCCTCCTCTTCCTCCATTCCTTCTCCTTTATCAATAACGCCTCCCTGTCGCACCCCGGGTCCAATTTTGGGGCGGACCGGACGTTTCGCCTGAGAATTCCTCACCATTCATGACCTTGAGAGCAAAACATTGGCAACAGTTTAACAGATGGAGGGCGGGTGGTTTTCAAAATGTGGCTGTCGCCTTAGCGCCGCGTACATTCGTTTTCACCATTTGCAAGAGTTTCACGGATTGAGGGCGGGTGGTTTTCAACATGTGGCTCTCGCCTCAGCGCCGCGCACATTCGTTTAACAAATTTGCAAGAGCTCCACGGATTGAGGACACCCGTTTCCGAAATGTGGCTCCCACCTTAGCGCCGCGCATATTCGTTTTCAACACTTGCAAGAGCTTCACGGATTGAGGGCGGGTGGTTTTCAAAATGTGGTTCTCGCCTCAGCGCCACCCACATTCGTTTAACAATGCCTACACGAGCTCCACGGATTTCCATGATCAGAGTACCAGGAATGATGTAGTCGAAGGATTCAGGATTATGAGGGTGCAACTGTTACGTTGATCCGCGGTGGTGAAGTCTCAGGAATGGGGCGTTCTGGCACGATCCAGGATCGTTTAGACGAAACAGTCAGGTTGATTCATGGCGTTGGAATCCCGAGTGCAATGTTTTGGCATGCCTCTGGGTCTTCAAATGGACGTCTTCCAACGAGGCAGTTCCCTCAGTGGAAATGGACCCGTGTTAGGGCCTATTACGAGGGAGCTTGGAGGGATGGATTATTCCAACATCGTTGATGACTCTTGGGTTTACACTGGTCCTCCTCCTCCTCCTCCTCCTCCTCCAGCGGCTGGCACGGTGTGCGGTGCGTCGCGGGGCGACATGGGGATGAGACGGAGGGAGGATTGATGAGAGGAGAACGGAAGGAGGAATTGCGTGGAAGAGGAGATGGAGGAGGGCAGTGAGGGGGGAAGTGAAGGAAGAGCCGGAGCATCACCATCAGCAAGAGCGGCAGGAGCAGGAGGAGTGGATCAGGGGGGTGGCAGGATAGCTCCTCCCCCTCCTCCTCTGAGCATCCCCTTGGGGCGCCCACTCTGCTGCGTACCCGTAGTTCGGGGAGTGCCCATACAGGAGGGGCGGTGTGGCCCCGTCCGAGATTTGGGCCGCCCACATGGCTGTGGGCCAACCGCGCGACGACGAAGACGCCGCCGACGACGACGGCGGCGGCCACCACGACCACGACCACGACCACGACCGCGACGACGGCGACGACGACGACGACGACGACGAGCACAGCACGGCGGCCGCCAGCCGCACCGCCGCGCCCGCCGCGAGGCCGCTGCTTCGTCGTCGGCGTCGCCGTCGTCGGCGTCGTCGCCAGCGCACGGCATAGCCTCGCGCAGACGCCAGGGTTCACGGTCCCGACCCCGATGCCGATACTTTTTTCTGCTCCTGCTCTCCCTCCCTCCCTCCCTCCCTACTTGGTGCCTCCCCGTCTAAGTAAGGTCGCGAGAGCCTTCAGCGGTTTCGGAAGGGCCTCTTCCCTGGCCACAAGGGCCCCTCGAAGGCCATGGATGTCCGCGGAGAGAGTAAACCACCAGGCGGAACGCCATTCTCTGCGGCAGCCCGCCACACCGTGGTTAGCGGCGACTTCCTCACTGCTTCCCCACGCCTGACTCCTACGGCGCTCTCGAGCCCGTGCCTTTTTCAGTACGCGTGTCAACGCTTCGCCCCTGCTGGGCCTTGCCCGGGCTCGAGTGGCAGTGGCAGTGGCGTTCGAACAAAGCAGGTGTGTGAGTGATCCACTGCTGTGTACAGTTAGGGGGCCACATGCGAACCCTACCCCTACCCCCCACGATTTCTGAGGGGGAGGGTGGGGTTCACTTCGTTCGGGAGCCCTCGAGCGAAGTGAACCCCACCCTCCCCCTCAGAAATCGTGGGGGGTAGGGGTAGGGTTCGCATGTGGCCCCCTGACAGTGCCATGGCACACACACACGCGCGCCCGCATGCGACGATCGCTCCACGACGCCCGCACGCCCCGAGAAGCCGGCCCGCCCGGCGGCGGGAGGCCCAGAGCCGGCGCGGCCCGCGAGGGGGGGAAGGCTCCACGAATGGGTGGCGCCGTCCGAACCATCGGATGCTCCCCCGCGGCACGAGGCGCACGCCGCGGAAGGCGGGGGGGGGCCGCCAGCAGCGCGCGCCGTCGTCGCGGAGCTCGGCCAGACGCAGCAGCCCCCCTCCTCCCCTCCTCCCCCTCCTCCTGCTCCCCCTCCTCCTCCTCCTCCTCCTCCCCCTCCTCCTCCTCCTCCTCCTCCTCCTCTTCTTCCTCCTCCTCCTCCTCCTCCTCCTCCTCCTCCTCCTCCTCCTCCTCCTCCTCCTCCTCCTCCTCCTCCTCCCCGTCCTGCTCCCTCCCCCTCCCCCTCTCCTCCTCCTCCTCCTCCTCCTCCTCCTCCCTCCTCCTCCTGCTCCCTCCTCCCCCTCCTCCTCCTCCTCCTCTCCTCCTCCTCCCCCTCCTCCTCCTCCTCCTCCTCCTCCTCCTCCTCCTCCTCCTCCTCCTCCTCCTCCTCCTCCTCCTCCTCCTCCTCCTCCTCCCCCTCCCCTCCTCCTCCTCCTCCTCCTCCTCCTCCTCCTCCTCCTCCTCCTCCTCCTCCTCCTCCTCCTCCTCCTCCCCCTCTTCCTCCTGTCCCTCGGCCCCTGCCTTCCCCACCTCTGACTCCGCACCTCCTCCTCGGCCGGCGGGCCTCGCGGGCGCCTCCTAGACGGGGCCGAAGCACATAAAATCGGAGGATCGCGCCATGGCTTCGATGCTTCGACGATTTCGGCGCGATGTGGACTCCGTTTTTTGTCTCTCCACGCCGACGTCGCCGATGCAGCGCTGGCTTCGCTGATGCATTGGCGATGTGGCGCGACCCTCCGACCCCATCCCGGACCCCATCCGGGAGGCCTCTAGATCCGCCCCTCGGGCCCTCTGGGCCCCTCAGTGCCCCTTGGGTGAGGCAGGGCAGAGGGGAACCTGACTGGCCAGCGTCACAGAGGGCCCGCCGCTGTCGACGTCGTCGATGCCGATGGTCGTGATTGTCATCGTCGTCGTCGTCGTCGCCGTCGCAGTCGCCGTCGCCTTCGCCGTCGCCGTTGTCGCCGCTCGCCGTCGCCGTCCTCGTCGTCCTCGTCCTCGTCGTCGTCGTCGGCGGCGGCGGCGGCGGCCGTCGTCGGCCGTCGTCGTCGCTGCCGCCGGCGCTGCAGTCGGCGCCCTGCCCGAGGCGGTGCAGCCCCCGCGCGAGGACGGGGCGAAGGAGGCGCGGGCGCCCCGCGCGGTGCGCGTGGTCGCCCCGCAGCAGGTGCGCGCGGTGGCGAGCCCCGCTCGGGCGCTGGCGCGCTCGAGGAGGGCCCCGGCTTTTCCTCATCGTCGTCTACGCTGTTTGGTCGCAAATCATGGGAGCCTTGTATCAAGCAGCGGCGAAGCGTCCTGGCTCGCCTATAGCCCTACCAAACAATGTTCTGAGAACCTCTTGTGGTTCCAACGAAATGTTCTTAGAACATTTCTGGCGGAGTCTGTCCTGCTTTGTCACGTCGGGTTTATGCTCTAAGAACATTGTTTTGTTCTTAGCACATTTTTGGGTTCTAAGAATATTTCGTGGTAGGACTACAGCTCCCCCGCTGACTCCTGCCTCCCCCTTCCTGACCCTGCCCTTCCCCTTTCTCGCCCTTGCCCTCCTGCTTCGCCTTACCATCGTCGTCATCGTGATCGTCCGTCTCCTCCGTCTCCTGCTGCTCTGTATGCAAGTCTTTCTCGTTCTCTCTGGTCTTCCACACTTGCTCCTCCCCGTCACGTCTCTCGCGTTTCCCCTCTAAGCCCCCCTCGTCCTCATTTTCTCCATCACCCTCCTAAGATGCACGGACGCATCATCCTGGTAATCCTTCTTCCCACCCGAGTCTTTGTTTCTGTGTCTGCCAAGACCCTTGCCTGCACACTGGCAGCAATCAGAGGTGGTGCCTTCCAGCTCAGCCGTCAGAGAGCTCGAAGTACGCGGTGCCCTTTCCAGAGCGGGCGCTTCGCGCTCGACGTTGGGAGTCAGGCTTGGACCCAAGCGTTGTGCTGCTGGACTTCAGCTGTGTTTTGCTTTTCGTTCTGGCAGTGAGGTACAGGAAGACAGGGAGAGCAAACGAACAGCAAGACGAACAAAACACGAGCAGCAAAATTTGGGTCCAGCCCCGCTTGGAGCTGCGCGCCAAAGGGCGGGGCGCGGCACCGACCTCTCTCGCGCGGGGCAGCTACATGATGTCACCGCCTGCGTGTGCTGCAAGTGTACGTCGGGCCCGTCCCTCCACAGGAGGGATGTTCAAAGATAGTCCAAAAAATAGGCTGGGGACGATTTGTTTGACAGTGTTTGAGCATTTTGGGGGACAGGCCCCGCTTCATGCACGGGGACAGGCCCCGCTTCATGCAAGTGGCAGAGGATGGGCGCGGCGCACGCCCTCCGCGAGACAGCGGCGTGCTGCCACCGGCCGAGTGCTGCGCAGAGATGCCTTGGGCATCTCGCCCCTTGCCCGCGGCCGAGCTCGTTGGGAGCGGGCCTGCGCGGCAGGCGGATGGCCGTCTCGACCTGCAGGCGCGTCCGCCTGAGAGCCTCCCGGTGTGACCTCCCATGCCTTGGCGCCGCTCGGACGTGTGCACGTTTCTCGGCGGGGCCAGCGTCGGAAAGTCTGGACCGTCCTGGAGCAGAGGAGGTCGCCCTGCAGAACAACGTGCACGAGACTGAGCAATGCTCCGGGCGTGGACGTCCGAGGGATGGCAGGATGCGCGGCGAAGGCCGCAGATGGTTCGCATGGGACGCGGCGCGCCAGAGTAGATTTCAGATTCGGGATGCGGGGGCCGTCCTGCCTGCCAGATCGGACCGCCGACAGCGTGTTTCGCTTCGTGCGCAATTCTCTGCGTTACGCCCAGACGTTGGCGCAGAGGTCAGTCGTCAGGTTGTGCCGGCCTGTGCTCAACTGCCACGGGAGGGAGAGTGCGACTGGGTCGGGAGAGGTTGGCATCCCCAGGCATGCGGCGTCCTGATATTTTCAGGACGGCGTCCCCGGAAGGCCAGACCTTTTCCCCGGGGCCGGTTTTTCATCCCGAGTCGTTTTTTGACGGTCCCGAGGACCGGCGAGGATGCCGTTGCTGGATCTGCTGATGCTGCTGTTGCCACTTCTGCTTAAGCATGTTGTTGTCATGGATCCATGAAGCCTGTTTTCGATACGTTTGCTAATCACGGTTTCCTGCACTTTAGATCTTTTTTGTTCAGCCGCAGTTGTTGCTGCTTATGTTGCTGCTGTTTATGCTGTTATAGCCCCACCAACATGAGAACCGGAGTTGTGGGGAAGCTCCAATTCACGTGATTTCAGTTTCAATTTGGTTTATGTGATGTTTGCTTTGTAGTGCTGCAATGTTGGCTGGTTGTTATTTTGTTTGTTTGTCCCTGGGGGGGGGTCCAGCTTTGCAGGCATGTGCAGCCTGGCGTCGTTCTTGTAGGGATGCTTGGATAGGTTGTTCATGCATGCTTGCTTCTCTTTGCTGTGGCATTATCGCATTCGTTTCTTCCTCCAGTGGTGGTATAAATACAGCAATGTGGCTCGTTGCTGGTTTTCTTTCCCACCACCTACCCACTCTGCACTGGTGGTCTTGTCTCTCCTTAGGTTGGCGGCCATGTGCCACATCAGCTGTTGTGCAGCTGGTCTGTGCACATTTCCCATTGCTTGGTGATTTTCCTTAGGAGGGGAATCGGGGATCAGTGAAGGATATTGAATTTGTGGCTGCTGCCGATGCTACTGCTGCAGCTGCTACTGCTGCCGCAAGTGCAGCTACTAGGAAAAGCCGCTCTGGCTCAAGTTGGATTTGCAGCTATTTCTCAATTAGGCTGTGGCTTAGGGGTCCTTACTTATTTTGTGGAAAGGGATCGATCGAATGTTCATGATAAAGCGCCCGGATCCCGGATCCGGGGAACCGGCGCGCCCCCAGCAATAAAGATCATAAAGAATTGTTTATAAATAAAGTGCGAGTTTCCTTAGAGTTTCTCCCGTGCAAATGTTCGTGATTTGGCTCCGCATAGTTTCTTCCTGGAGCAATTTCCGGCCTGGGAAGCTCGCGGAGGTAGTGTTCGATAAGTTGAGCTTCCGGGAGGCTCGCGGAGGTAGTATGTGAAAAGTTGAGTTTCCGGGAGGCTCGCAGAGGTAGTGCAAAAAAGATTCTTCGCCTGCGGCGCGATGTCTTCAGATTTCAATCAGTTTTCCTTCAGTCTTTCTGAAGCTATGTTTTAGCTGTCCTGTATCTTTCCCTTAGCTTTCCTTTAGCTTTCCTTCAGCTCTCCTTTAGGTTTACTTTAGCTTTCCTTTAGCCTTTCTTTCGTTTTTTTTAGCGGAGGTAGTATGCGATAAATTGCTTCCTGGAGGCTCGCGGAGGTAGTATGCGATAAGTCGAGTTTTCGGGAGGCTCGCGGAGCTAGTATTGAAAAAAATCGCCTGCGGCGTTCTTTATCTCTTTCCTTTAGTTTTCCTTTCGCCTTCCTTTCAGCTTCTTTTAGCCTTCCGTTAGCTTTCCGTTAATTTTCCTTTAGTGTTCCTCTTGAATTCTTGTTTTTTGTCCTTTTGCTTTTCTTCTGCTTTACTTCAGCTTTCTTGTAGCCTTAGATTAGCTTTCATTTAGCGTTCCTTTAGCTTTCCTTTAGTTGTCCTTTAGCTCTCCTTTAGCTTACCTTTAGCGTTCCTTTAGCTTTCCTTTAGCTTTCCTTTAGCTTTCCTTTAGCTTTCCTTTGGCTTTCCTTTGCTTTCCTTTAGCTTTCCTTTAGCATTCCTTTAACTGTCCTCCAGCCTTCCATTAGCTTTCCTGCAGCTTTCCTTTATCTTTCCTTTCGCTGTCCATTTGCTTTCCTTTTGCTTTCCTTTTGCTTGCCTTTATCTTTCCTCTTGCGTTCCTTCTGCGTTCCTGTTGCTTTCCTTGTGTTTTCCTTGTGCTGTCCTTCGGCTTTCTTGTAGCATTCCTTTAAGTTTCCTTTAGCGTTCCTTTCGCCTTCCTTTAATTATCTTTCCTATAGCTTTCCTCGAGCTTTCCCTTGGCTTCCCTGTTGCTTTCCTTTAGCTTCCTTGTAGCCTTCCTTTAACTTTCCTTCAGCTTTTCCATTCGCTTCCCTTAAGCTTTCCATCGGCTTTCCTTTAGCTGTGCTTTACCTTCCCTTTAATCTGCGATGCTTACAACCATATGCTTGGCGCGATCCGCGATACGCGCGACCTTGTGCTTGGCACGATCCGCGAGACGTGCGACCCTATGCTTGGCGCGATCCATTATAGTTGCGACGCTATGCTGGGCACCATCCGCTTCGTCGGACCGAGACTGGAACAGGACCAAGCAATTCAACGTGAGCGAGCTATTGCTGCTCTGGGACTTGCAGTCGACTGCGAAGGCGTTCTTTCGCAGCGTTGGCGCGCTGCCTCTCGTCGATATGAAGCGTGTCTCGGCAGAATCCAAGAAGTGGAGCGCCAGGCTCGAGAGAGCCACAGACTTGCATATTCCGTGGCCAGAGAGATCTCCGCATTCTTGGACGGTTGACGGAAGGGGTTCGCGCGGCAGGCGCATGCAGTAGCATGATCGCCCAGCCAGAAATATGCAACCATGGAAGGGCCCAGCGCCCAGCCTGGCATAGCCCCTATGCGCCCCAGGGGTCGCCCCCCAGCGGATTGCAGCGCCCCGCGCGGCGCGAAGCGCCTATGGGTGGACGCATGCTATGTGAACGCCGTATCGGGGGGTGCCTCATTACGCCGCGGAACACCGCGAGCTGCTTGTACAGCGCAGGCGGAAATACGACAGGGCGGGATACTGGGATCAGCGAAGAACGTTCGCACATCTCGACTGGCACGGTCTGCGGGCAAGATCGGTCGGCCGGCCAAACCGATCCAGCTCAAGCTGTACGAAGTAGCATCTGCAGCGCAGAACGATTCGCGCGTGTCCAGTGTCCCGCCAAGAGCAGGCATCAGTATTCCTTCTACTGCGAATCCTTGCGGCTGGTTGTCATTCAGCAGGGCCGAAATCCCAGAAGACGAGCGCACCGCCATCTGGTACGAGGCTTGGAAGGAACGCAAATCACGTTCTTTGCAGCACCTCGCCCAGGATCGCATCGACAATGCGCACCGCACCTGGTGCAGCGGGTGGTTTGCAAAATGTGGTTTTGTAATTATTATTCTAAACACTTGCAAGAGTTTCACAGATTGAGGGCGGTTCTTTTTCAAAACGTGACTCTCGCTTTGGCGCCGCGCACATTCGTTCATACAACTTGCAAGAGCTTCACGGATTGAGGGCGGTTCCTTTTCAAAATGGGGTTCTCGCCTTAGCGCCGCGCACATTTATTCTAAATAATTGCCACAATTGCAAGAGTTTCACGGATTGAGGGCGGTTCTTTTTCAAAACGTGACCCTCGCTTTGGCGCCGCGCACATTCGTTTTTGCACATTTGCAAGCGTTTCACGGATTGAGGGCGGTTCCTTCTCAACATGTGGTTCTCGCCTTAGCGCCGCGCGCATTCGTTTGAACAATTCTGCAAGGGTTTCACGGATTCCCATGGTCAGCGTACCAGAAATAGTGTTTCGGAAGTATTCAGGGTTATGTGGGTGCAACAGTTATATTGGTTCGCGGTGTTGAATCCCCAAAACGGCGTTCTGGCACGGTTCCATATTGTCAAGACGCAGCAGTCAGGTTTATATGTTGTGTAAAATCCCGAGGACAATATTTGGGCATGCTTCAGGTTCTTCAAGGGTGTCTTCAAACGAGGCAGTACCCTCAATTGAAATGAACCGCCGTAGTGGCCTATGACGAGGGAGCGAGGATTAATTCCAATATCGTTGATGACTCTTTGGTTTACACTGGTCCTCCTCCTCCTCCTCCCTCTCCTCTTCCTTCTCATCCTCCTCCTTCCCACCATATCATCCCCCCGCCCGCAAGTGCCCGACAGGCGTGTCTTCTCTTGCCCCCTCCCCCGCCCCACACCACCGCGGCGAAGGACGGAGGTGTCGGTGGGATCGGCGGCGGCAACGCTGGCGGCAGGAGCGCCTGGAGAATGGGGGGGGGGGGGCGTTTTGTGTTGTGGTCTGGGGGGGGGGTGCGGCAGAGCAAGGGGAGTGGGAGGAGGCGGGGCAGGAAGAGGGGTAGGCGGAGCGGGGGAAGAAGGAGAGGAACATCGAAAGTAGGAGTGTTGTGTTGTCTACACACCCGCATCACACTCATCAGCATAATCACCGTCATCGGCATCATCATCATCCACATCCTCCGCCTCACAGCATCATCATCAGCATCATCATCATTACCACCATCGCCATGGTCAATATCACCATCATCATCATCATCATCATCATCATCATCATCATCATCATCATCGTTGTCATGACCATCAGCACCATCATCATCTCCATCATCATCACCATCGCCATTGCAATCGTAATCATCATCAAATCAGAAAGAGCGTGATCCACCGCCGCTTTACTATGGAAAATTGCCCCCCTCTTCCTCCGGAACCCGAGCCCCCCCCCCCTCCGCAAATCCCATCCCCCTGCTGGACCCCCCCCCTCCCCCCCCCCTCCCCTCCCCCGGCAAAACCCCCCCCTCCTCCCCCTCGAAAACCGGGGGGGGGTCACTACCAGTTCGAACCCCCCCCCACCCCTCGAAAACCGGGGGGGG